TTGAATCTTTAAGAATTATTATTTTTAAATAGAGTAACATCTGTGAATGCTTGAGGGCAAACCTCATCAGCTTGTGCTCTTCCTTGACCCTTCGCCTCCTCTCACCTTCTAGTCTGTCAGGAGATGGTGTCAGCTTTCTCTTCAGATCGTACTCAGAATCTGGTTACTTCTCACCATCTCCACTATTTCCCTGCCACAATCCTCCCATATCACCACTCTCTATGACCTAGATCACTGGAACAGCCTCCTACAAAAGTAAAGAAAGGAAAATGTTAGTAAATATTTTAATAATAAGTTCTGTCTTCTGTAAACACAGGCTATTAATATTCTCTTTTCCTAAGCATTCTTTGTAAAATACTGAGCAAACTGTTACACGTACATCTTATGCTGTGGGGGACACACGGCAGTTCTTGTCCACTGCCTTGAGGAGATCATCTTTGGGGAGACGAGGATCACATATTAGAGTTTCACTGATCATATGAATTAAGTGACAATAACCACAGAAATAAATTACAAGTGCCCAACTGAAGTAAGGCATTTTATATAAGGAACTCCAGGAACCTATGTGAATTTTGTAGATTAGAAAAGGTTTCATGGAGGATGGAGGTGAGCTATGTCACAGATGATGCTGAGGAGTTGTAGCAAGGAGGCCACATGGCGTCTTTGCAGTTGTGCTGAGTAAGAATGAGCTCAGTTTTCTAAGAAGAATGTACCAGCTGGCTGAGGAACAGGAGGTAGCTTCACTTGAAGGATAATTGCCAGTGAGAGGACGAAGTGGGTTCAGGCTTACCACTTGGTAAGCCATTGGAGCCATATTTGGGCATAAGACTGGTTCCTATCCAGTTGCTAGAATCCTGAGATGGGGGAGAGGGGGATGGACCCAGCCAATATTATTATTAGGAAATCTTGAGGGGAGTTTAGTATGTGGTTTTGGAGAGCATGTTGGGTGTAGCAAGTGTGACCAATTGTCCTGTTTTCCCAGGATTCTCTCAGTTTCAGCACTAAAAGCCCCATGTCACAGGTTGAAACCCCCCAGGCAAAGTGGATGGTTATCGCTTACAGTCTAGTATAGTTGAGACAAGCGATTGTTATCTGAGGTCCAAACCAGAGTAATGTATTAGCATGTTAGCAAGGGAACAGAGCATGACAACCAAAAGCCCAGGGCATTCAGAGCTCTGGTAGGCAGGCAGTGGAGTTGAATTATATTTTGGCTGAGAGCAGTTGAGCCAAATAAAATGTACTCAAAAGCAGCATTGTCAAAGCAACTTTGCCTGTGTGGCAGTCTAGTTGAAACAAATTCTGAAAAAAAAAAAAGAGCATTTTACCCACTGGCTTTCAAGTTTTGTATAATAATAATAATAATAATAATAATAATAATAATAAGCAATAACAACAACAACAATAGCAGCAGCAGCAGCTACCTTTAATGAATCTTACCTTGAACCAAGCACCTTGCTAGATTTTACAAATATTCTCACCTTCAGTCTTCCCAACCAGCCTATGAGATGGGCATCATTATTTTTTCCATTTTACAGACAAAGAAACTGGTCGTGTGAGAGATTAAGCTGTTTGCTCAGTTACAATGCTAATTAATCAAAGATGGGGACTTGAACCCTGGCCAGCCCAAAGCCCGTGCTCTTAGTCACCATGTAGTACCATCTCCTGGTATCAAGGAACCTGATTTGTTTATTATTTATTTTTTCTTTACTACAAAAGTAACACTTGTTAACTCTAGAAAAATTGTAACATAAGGAGTGGCAGAAGACTATGCAAAATATGCACAATTCCCTCTACTTAGAAACAAAGTCTGTTAATACCTCTGCTGGTATCTTTGTTTTTTTTTTTTCGAGGGCACATGATGTACACACACACACACACACACTTTTTTCCATAAAAATGACTCTTGATGAATCTTTTAAAGCCAATTGCTAGACATTTATTTTTTCCAACTTACTTTGTCAGATGTTTAGACTGTTGCAATTTTTTGATACTACAAACAGCTTACGGTAGACATAATTAACTGAAGATGACATACAAATAAAATAAAGCAAAATGCAGCAAGACTGAAAAGCGAAAACCAAAAAATTCACAGTGATGAACAGTAATTCAAGAGATGCATAACAATTATTAAATCAGTCACTCTGGGTTGTATCCAGATCACTAATACAGTGAAAACCAGTGACTGAGGAATATATGCTTTTGAACAGACTGTGATATTGAATAGCTTTCTTGCAGTTAAAGTTGGGTTTTCAGCAAAATCACCAGGAGCCCCTGACAGAAACCATAAGCAGGACCCCAACCCCCAGGCAAAGTCCCAGGAAGGCAGCTGATCCCTAAAATGTAAATGCAAGAAATGACTTTGTTGTGGAGGAACTGTGCTCAGGGAAATACGCCACAAACCCAATGACCTGAAACCATAGCTGTGAGAAACAGAAGTAAATTCCAAGCTAATATTAAAACAGTTATCAAAGCTGGAGGTCGTGGCCAGGCTCATGACAACTGGGGGGTTGATGCTGGGTCTCAGAGTGGTGGGTCAACTCTCTTTAAAACCTTTTTGCCAAAGGGCAGGACACTGGGCCTGGGATGAGCCTACAGGTGGGGAGAATCACCCCAGAGAGTTTAAAAGAGCTCCAGGGATTAGAAATCGGGCAGGAGAGTAAGATAATGAAGAGCTGTTGGGTGGTTAACTCAGCTAAGTATAGGCAAGGAAGCAATTTAAGAGGGTACGTCTTAAAACCAGTGTGGTAGCAAATGAAAAGGAAGAGACTTTTGGTCTGGGCGGTGGTAGGAATTACACGTAGAAAGATATCTAGGTATCTCCGTGAAATAAATAGATGGGAGTAATAACTGTCATGACGTTCCTCTTCTTATCACACGTTTAGTGTGCAGACAGATCATGTAGTTAGTTGATCCTTGGAGCTTGTAATGCTGACATTAGTTTTATTAAATCAAAGTTTTAATTGGCATATTAAAATTTTCTTTTATTAAAGAACCCCTAAATAGGCATGCTATGTCTCAGGATTGCAGATTAAGTTAATGCTATCATGTTTTAAAATTAAAAATTATTATCTTCTCTTCGTGCTATGAAGGTCATCACAAAATTAATGACTGGTATGCTGGAAAGACATTTCAATTAACTTTCTTGGATATTGATCAGATAAGCCCTAAGATTTATGATTATTTTCTGAAATCTTCATTAGATGAGTCCTTTGTTGCTTTGAATGACTCTCTTAGCAAGTAGTTTCCAAACTCTGGAAAGTATCGCTTCTGAATTAATTTACCAAACCCTGGGAAGTATCACTTCTGAATTAATTTAAAAAGAAATCTCTCTTTTGCTGAATGTCCACATTGTGTTTTTTTGTTTGTTTTTGTTGCCCTAAGATTAACAATTGTATAGAAGTTAACTGTGTTCTTAATTAGAAATAACTTTTTGTGTTTCTGGAGGAATGAAATTCATGAGCTTCCAATGCTCTAAATATTACAGTAACTTCATTTAATTAACTGCAGCTAATGGCTAGATTTGCTTCCGTGCTTTGAACTTTTGAGTCAGACCTCCCTTGCACAGTATTTGATGCATATGATCATCATTTCTGTCTCTCCCATGGAATTTTCTAATATTTATTGTTTTTAAAATTACGAAGTAATCTTTGTTGTAAAAAGAAACTAAGACAGTATTCAATATAGACTGCTCCTTCTCCCAGCTTCAGAATGATAGCTTTGTAATGGTTTGATGCACACTTTTACAATCTTTCATGAGGTTCTGCTTGTGCACACATAATACACACATACATATATACACTCAGTACACATTCCTCTTCCTCCCTGCTACCCCACCTCTTCTTCTGTCTCTTCCTCCCAAATGTAAGTGCTGTGACACTGCCAATGGAGAGAAGGCTTTGTTCTATGTTCTTTGCTTTATTGGATTTCACTCCTGGATGGACCTTATAGTCCTTGTCCTTTCCCTCACTTGCCCACCACAGAGGTCCAGTAAATTTGCTCTGCTTCTCTTTATCTCAGCCACCAAAACTAGCAGCCCTCCCGGAACAAATTCTCAGCTCTGTAAAAGACAGCAGTTCTGGGTGTTTCTCCTGGGGACAGCCAGCTAAGCAGCCCCAGTTCTGGCTTCCCTGGTGATTGGCCCCAGGCCCAGAGGGGCTTTCGTATCAGTTGATTCCAAGTGTGGAGTTGCTTTGGGGTTTCCTTGGGTTATTCTTTGCAGCATTCCTCTTCTCAGTTTATTATGGACTGAGATTTCTTCTGCATTGTCATTTCAACTCTGTCTAATTTCTGTCTTCTAGAATTTTCTAAAAAGTGTTGGGATGTTGATGGTAGAACTTGTTTTCTTCTCTTTTCTGTCATTTTAGTGGGATTTAGGTACACATGATGATCCACTCAATGCTTTGAACCTTCCAAGTGCCTAGTCTTTTTCCTATTTCAGGTCTAGCTTTTGGAAATTCTTTCAGGGTTCATTTTCAGTTCCTTTGATTTGTGTTGTAAATTGAAAGGTCTTTTTCCTTTCAGTATTCTGTTTAGTACCAATCATAATTAAATCATTGCTATCTCATTGCTCTCTGTTTGGTTTCAGAAATGACACCAGTGCTCAGGAGTTTTCTATTCTACTGAATTTATGGACCTTCACAAAGTGTTACTGCACAAAGCCAATTACTGATTCTAAATTTACTTTAAGAAATTTAAATAATAATTATCCTTATTTCATTTAATATATACATATACATATATGTATATAAATGTCACTATCTTTAATATATATTTGTATTTTATTTGCTAGGTGACTAAATATTGTCAGTTTCCTTTGCCAGCATCCAGATCAATTGGAGATATAAAAAATAATGGTAACTTATCATAAGCACATGGTACTGAATGTATCTTAAAATGATTTCTTAAATACTATCAGAAACAAATGAATGATTTAGCATTTTTTTTGTTATTATTGAGATATATTGGTCATTCAACAGTGTATTTTTAAAATTTTGTCTCAGGAAGGAGAAAATATTTTCTATTTGGCAATTGAAGATATAGAAACAGATACAGAGCTTCTGATTGGCTACTTGGACAGTGACATGGAGGCTGATGATGAAGAACAGCAAATTATGACAATGATCAAAGAAGGAGAAGTCAAAAATTCTAAAGGACAATCAACAGCTGGCAGAAAAGGTATTACCTGTAATTGACGGTCTGAGATATTGAAAGTTGTAGGATAAATATAGTTTGAACTGTGCTTGAATTATAATTGCATTATAATGGGGTGATCTCAAAATAAAGTTAGTTTTTGTCAGGATTGCTCTCAGAGGGTGTCCTGTTGCGTGCTTGTCTTTCAGCAGGAAGAGAATGCCAGGTGAGGGGTAATGGATGTGCCCCGTAGCACTGCCAAAGTCAGCGTCAGCTCCCGGCTCCCACTGCTCTCACTGGTGGGTGGTGGTAATCAGGATTTTTGTATTCTGGCCCTGAACCTGCCATTAATCAGTGTTGTAACTGGGCAGGTCACTAACTCTGAGACTTTACTTCCTCATCTGCACATGGGGAAAGGTGAGTTCAGAGGTGTGCAGCGGTCCTGCTGGGCCCTGTGGGATTATTCCTGGACCTCACTCCTGTTTGAGATCCTTTGAGAATCTGGAGCTTCTGAAAGTCTTTCTCTGCTCCAGTCATAGAGCCGTACAGCACTGCTAGGCTGTTCCAGTTGGGTCACCAAAAATGCGTGATGACCCTGGGTGGACCTGCCCAAATCTGCCCTACAGTCCAGGAGGTAGATGGTGCTTGTGTGTCATCCCCGGGGAATAATCTGGTGTTATTAGGGCTTGTTTCTGTTATGTGTGGTGCTCCTGATGGAGGTTGAGGGAAATGTAAATAATGTTATAGGTGTTCACATTTTGTAATAGGCTGATACTTAAACTGCAGAGTATTTTTCCCATTTACTTAGCAAAGCCACTTCAGAAGTTTTTCGCCACTGTGGTAGGAATGTCTTTTAATGGATTTTCTATTCTAACTCTGTGTCATTGACTGAGAAAGTATGAGTAGTCCCAGTATTGCCAGATTATGTTTCTATTTCTTTATCTTTATAGTTGGATTATTTAGGAAGATGAGGACAGTCTGTCCATCTTTCAAATATGCATTATGCTGTTTAGAATGTCAGATCTGGGGTGATGGGAATTAATTCTGTATTATTCTGTTTTCTTTCTTTTCTCTTCTTTATTTATTTTCAATGTATTTATTTTCAACATTGCCCCAAACATTGAAAATAATACTCCAACCAATATTAAGTTATGGTATTAGTGTCCACTATTTTCCCTTAAAACTAAGTCTCCTACTTATCTATTTCATCCAGTTTTTCTTTACAAAATGTCAATTTCCATTACTTTTGTAAAAAGAATAAACAAACTTAAATAGATTTTTAGATCATATGAATCAGGTACTTACATGGTTGATATTTTTATTTTAGAGTTCAATTTTGTTTATAAAAGCAAAACACCCCCCCACAAAACCAAACTAAAAATCCAAAACTAAAGCAAAAACAACCAAACAACCAGCAAAAGAAATAAAAAATTCACTCAAATATCAAACAATGGAGAGTTTGGTTAAATAAGTAAGTTATGGTACCTTGAGTTTAAAAAGAAACTTTTTGACTTGAGAAAAATGTTAAATGGAAAAAATAGCAATATATGAAATGGCATGAAAAGTATGATCATAAAAGGTAGCTGTTCTTAGACTGTGCTGAAAATTTGAATGTGCCAGAGTCAGGCATGGAGATAGATGCTAGTTCTCTTGCTTATGGGACCACGGGTGGCTTTTATTCTCTTCATATTTTCTGCATTTTCCTTAAATCTAATCTTATTTGATAAGCAGAAACAAATACATATAATTTAAATAGCATGCTTTGAAAAATTTGGGTAGAGCTGTGACAGTCCACATGGGACGAGCCAGAGAGACAGTGGAGCCTCAGTCTACCTGCTATAATGAGTGCTGTTTTTATGACCTTGGTCTTTTTTCACATATATGTGAGATTCCCTTTGGTAACTCAGTGTAGTTCCCCTTGGTTGGATTTTTCTCTTCTCTTGCAGCTAAAAGTGAACTCAACATGACCTGTTTCAGGGAAGACTTTGGCTTTCCAATTCGACATTTGTAATAGCTCTTTGATGTGAAAAGTTAACATTACAGGGTAAATTAAAAATTGATTTTGATTTTGTGTTAATTTGATGAAATGCAGGTTAAATGATTTTTGAAATAATGTATTATTCTCTAGCAACACTTCCTATTATTTTTCATGGACAGCCTATTTATACTCATAAAGATAATAAGAATTTACTAATCTGGTACCACTAAAGACAGTTAATTTTGATTTTAAAAATGAGGGCAAAACTGGGCAATTCTTGGCTCTTCATTTTTGTCTTATAAATCTGCTTGCTTGTAAATATGCAGATCGCTTTGGCTGTAAAGAGGACTATGCCTGTCCCCAGTGTGAATCGAGTTTTACCAGTGAGGAAATTCTTGCTGAGCATCTTCAGACATTGCACCAGAAACCCACAGAGGAGAAGGAATTTAAGTGCAAGAGCTGCGGGAAGAAATTCCCAGTTAAGCAGGCTTTGCAAAGACAGTGCGTACATTACAGAGTCTCTAAAATTATAAGCTAACACTTTATTCCACTTGGTTTGTCTGATAGTTTCTAACCTGTATGTGTGATGGTGTGTGTAGAACAATTAAGCATTCTGTATTGTCATCAACTTACCTTTTCTGAGTATAGGTTGTTGATTTTTGAAATATTCTGATTATGAAGTTTAACAAGTAAAATTATTTATGCTAATCAGCCTTTGTCCATTTAATAACTTGCCATTAAATATTAAGCTCGTTGGTTTACTAATCTGAAATCCGACATTCACAATTTAGCTGGTGCTTTGAGGTCGCAGATCGAGTTTCAGTGGTCTGTACTTGATATTCCCTCTGCAATCAGTAAAAAAAAAAAAAAAAAGTTTAAGGAATGGAGAGAGTTCAGAGCATAAAGGACGCAGACATTTTGTGAAGCACTGTGTATTTCATAGCAACGTTGGAGAACTAATTTAAACACGACTAGGTGCAGGCTATTAAACGAATTAAAGAATCCCACGCATTGCTCTGCACCATTTATTATGTTAACTATTTATATTAACATCATTAAAGTTATCCTTTTACTTAAATATTTTTCAGTATCATGAATAATTAAAAGTGAGCAACTAGATATGTCTATTTATAAACTTTTATTTTAACAGAATGTCACCTTGCATATAAGCAAGAAATCTTTAACATAATAATGTTTCATTTTTTTATTCATTAAAATTCTGAACCATGCTGTATTTCATATTAAGACTGTTTTCATATATGCATCCACTTTTGCTTATAAAATTTGAGATGAGAAATTTCTGCTCAAAATAAACTTTAAAATTTTACACTTTTAGAACAGCAAAAGATGATACATTTGGAAATTTTATTATAAACTCTTAAAAAAAAAGCACGAGCTATATAGTTGTTAATGAATAGATTCTAAAACTGCATTCTGGTCAGCTTTTATTGAATATAATATTATATATTCTACACCAAAGATACTTTTACTGGGCTGAGTCTTATGGCTAAATTAGGTGCTACTAAAAATTTTAAAGAGCAAAAGGCAGAATGAAAAGACAGATCATTCCAAGTAGAGATATTTTCGTAAGATTTTGTCTTAGACTTCCAGTTTTCTTTCTTTCTTTTTTTCTATCTCCCCTCAGTGTTCTTCAGTGCTCAGCAAAAAGCAGTCTGAAGGATTCTTCACGAAGTTTTCAGTGCTCTGTTTGCAATTCTTCCTTCAGCTCAGCGTTGAGGTTCTGTGTCTGAGTTGTCAGATGGCTGTTGTATAGTGTGGGTCATTTCTGGCATGCATGCTTTCGTGCTTCTTAGTGCTTTAGTATCATGTGGCTACAGAATTTCAGTGCTGTCCTTCTTACCTGCCCAGGTAACGCTTGTAAGGACCCCGAAACTCTACAGGGGAGCATGCCTTACAGAAGCCTCCCGGGATGTTCCAAGATTGCAGGTGACTTCACCATTTCTTCTCCCTGTTCCCCTTTCCTGGTTGTCTTGTAGTTTTGAGCAGCACCAGGAGACTTGCCGGGGAGATGCCAGGTTTGTGTGCAAGGCTGACAGCTGTGGAAAGAGGCTGAAGAGCAAGGATGCCCTGAGAAGACACCAGGAAAATGTCCACGCCGGTAAGAAGTCATCGAAGGGTCGTTTTTAAAGGGAGCTTCCTCTCCCCAGGCTGCAGAGATCTGTTTTTCATTCTCACTCTCAAGGAGAGAGCTTGCCTTTTCAGTGTATTTCACACAGATGTGGAGCTCTGGCAGTGGAACTTTTTTTCTTTCACTGAACGCTGTTTCTTTTTAAGTTGATTTCAGCAATATGTGTCATTTTTCCTATCTCTGCATTAATCATAACCGGAAACTTCAGCTAAGGTCTAGTTGTGCTTGGTAGCCAGGTACGTTAAGAATGAATGTTTTAAATAATAATTTCAGTGTTTTAGCATGTGAAATTTCTGTTTTACTAGATACATTTTAAAACTATTAAGTGATGCCCTTCTGCCTTAATATTTCTACAATAAAATTCCACTAAAAAGATCCTTATATTTCTCCTATATTGGAGAAAATGACTGGTACATTTTGACATGGGAATTGAACATATTTGGATTTATAAAAGAGATACTATTTGAATTCCTTCTAATGGCTAGCTAAACAATAAGACAAATAGAAAATTTGTCACTTAGATTTCATCTGCTTAGCACATGGTAAATGTATTTGGTTTAGGGATTGAATCTATTGCACTAAAATGAACAGATGAGTATTGTCAGAGTTAATTTTTTACTTCCCCCATCTTTTCCTTAAAGGAGGCTGAGGTTCCTGGCATTCCTCATGTCCTTCTGTACCTGTGTTTTTCTCATGAGTTTACTTTTGTCCTTGGCTTCTGAGTGGAAATGTCTTTCTGGATATGAGGAAAGTGTATTTCTCTTCTCCTGATTTGTTTATTCTCACATTCAAGAGAAAAGGATCATTGGTAGTCAGGTTCTGTTTCTTTTATTTGCTCATTGTCCAGAAAGTGTCTCCTTTAATGCTAGTTATAGAAGCTAGTGTGTGCATGACCACTGGCCCTAACTTTACATCGATTTGGGCTGCAAGCTGTACTTGAAATCTCAAGGTGGCAGACAATACAGCCTTATGAAATACAGCTTCAGAATGGTGCCCGTCACTCAGGCTTTACAGTGTTCTGATTTCTTTCTTTCTTTTCAAAGAATATATGGCTGATTTATCAAAGATGGCATTTTTTTTTTGAATTCTTTATACTTGGGCCCTTCCTATGCGTGCAAAACTTTTCAATAGACTTGTCTCTTCATAGTTTTTGTTTTTAAAAAGCTGTTATGTTTAAAACACTGTTCTTAATTTTCTCCATCTTTGCCTGCAATGTATTATAACAAATCTTTCATGTCATTTTTAAAGTTAACTTTGCTGAACTAAGTAAAAAACCAGATGCACACTGACAGTCTGAAAACTTGCATTCTTGTTATTGGGCATGTGGTCCTCAGACTGTGCTATAAGCATAATTTCTTCGAGGCTTCTTGTAACTGGTCATGGATATTAAAATATTACTGATTCTGAAAACTCATGGTGATTTTGGAGAAAATAATTTATAAAAGGAAGTTTTTTTTAATTTTTCTATGTTGTAGATCATATAAAATGTGAAACATACTATATTTCAGCCAAAGGTCACCATGCATGCTTTTTTGCTGGGATTGGTACACAATGTGTCTCTCATTCACAGCCTCTCTCTTGCTTCTTCTCTTTCCTCCGTGAACACCGCAGGCATTTGGGGAAAGAATATTCCATATTCAGAATAACAAAAAAAGCAATGTTCACACATATGGTTGTAGAACCCTTTACTGTAGAGAGACAAAGGTATTCAAGGAAAGAGAAGATCTTGCAGCTTTTACCACTGACGATCACAAATGTTCTCTGTTAGGTGATATGAATTGAAGATGCTGAAAAGAGAGAAGCTGAATTTCAAAATATGGATCACATTTTTCCATAGAAACTGTAACATATGGTGGGTAGGTTCTCAGACCAGCTCCCAGAAGCATACTTAACCCACATTATGCTGAAACTCACAATGCTTCAAAGACTATGTATTCAGTACAGTTGTATTAATTTTTCATGCATCTCTTACCTTTCTAAGTAGTGTGTTCCTTACTGTTTTTTAAAGCTGAATTTGAAAGTCAAATATCAGACTTATCTGAATACAGTAAAACTAAAATGGTACGAAATCTAGTTGCAGCTCTGCAGGTGCTGTTGTCCTTGAGCCTAGGGAAGCTCACAGGGAGGTGACCTTCATGGCCACTCAAGAGGAAACCGTGAAGGGGCTGCCTTCCTTACCCCACCCTAACCGTCTTACCACCCTACCCATCTTTCTCTTTTGATTAGATTCTGCAGATGCTGATCAAGAGGTTTTGTATTTATGGGACATGACATTTATCTGCATTCTCAGGCAAACAGTCATAAACTTTTCCCTTATTTCTGCTCAGAGGAGCTAGGATTCCAGTTCTAGGAGGAAGGATAGAAGACTTACGGAGCAGAGATGGGGGGGTTGGTGTGTTGCCTGTGACTCCAGCTGGAGGAGCAGGGGCAGGAGCATTGGCATACAGTGGAAGGGGTGGTTGTGGAAGTCACTTCTTTGCTCTTCTCTCCCTCAAGCTCTGACCTGCCTGCTGGGAAAGAATAAAGTCTAGTCTCAAAGAGCAGCTGATATGAGGGATAAGCTAAGGCAGTAAAGGATTATGGATTGAAGGAGGGAAATCCCAGCTAGTGTGAGCTGGAAAAGAGGAAATAATCCTTCAGTGGCCCCGCGTATATAATAAATATATACAGAGAATTGATGACCAAATACATGCTGTTAGATACTCATTTTGCTTGGGAGAATTTTTCTCCTTTAATAGCCGTATTACTTGTCAGCCACCAAGAAGATTTTTCTTGGCTGTTAATATTTAGCATGCTAAAAATAGTGCATTGTATGAAATAAGTATCTTGAGTAATAAGACGAAAATTAGGATTTTCCTTTTTTTAAAAGTGTTTCTCTCTCATAAACAGTCTCTTTTAATAAGATAAAATTATTTTGTAATTTCGTTTTTTACCAATTCTGGATTTTTTCCCCAGATAGTAGACAAGTGGGGATGTGGATGGGGCTGAGGTTGTGGCAGGAAAGCCATGGATTAGTCATTTTGGGGCCAGGTAATGGGTACATGGTGTTTCATTCTATTATTTGTTTACTTTTTGAATATTTGAAATCAATCAAAAGTTGAAAAAACATTCTGTGGTTATTTATGGTAATCATACATGATACTGTTATTACATCACATTTTGAAAATTTTATTGAGTCTTTTCTATAACCACTGTGAAGTTTGAAATATGAAATGATATACTATATATATAAAATCACTATGGAAGAAGATAAAATTGGGCTTTATTTTGATTTGTATAATAATATGAATGTATTTAAATGTTAAAATGTAACCTCTTCTTTATCTGAATTTAATGAATATATCTACAACACTGAAACTCTTGGAGTTATAAATTAAAAAGAAGAAATACCTGTTTGGAAATTATATATCACCTAGAAACACTGTCTCTGATGCTCTTCTTAATATGCTCATATAAATCATGATGGTAATTTGTTTGTTGTTTTTGTTTAGGAGATCCTAAGAAAAAGCTCATATGTTCAGTGTGCAATAAAAAGTGTTCTTCAACATCAAGCCTACAGGAACATAGGAAGGTCAGTGAGATAAAGATTAATGCTTATCTTAGTATAAGATCTTTTAGTCATTTATAGTGTCTGCTATGAAAATTTTCAGTGGCTTTTTATATTGTAATGACAGGGCTTTGTCATTACATTAACTACTAACATACACTAAAATGTAAGATTGATATGCAGAAAAGTAGACTCTTGCAAAAGAATATTTTGAATTGTTAATTGTTGTTTAGAATTAGAGAAATATTTCTCCAATGCAGTATCGAGTCTCGCTGAGTCCTTCCTTACAACACCTCATACTGGTTTCAAGCTTTGTCAGTTGCTCTTTGCTCAGGAAATACTATATATTTGAGGAAACTGTATATTTTTGTGTATTTATAGTGTGTTCTGCTTTGACATTTAGCTATTAAAATGGATGCATATTAGAGTTAAGTTTGGCAAAGCAAAGACAAGAGCTCCATTATTTTAAAGAGCTAAAAATAATGTACAAGTATGTCGAAGTTTTACTAGCAGAAACAAATGATGATACAGTTGATCCTTGAACAGCACAGGTTTGGATGGTTCAGGTCCACTGGTAGCAGATTTTTGTCAGTGAATATATAGTGCAGTACTGCATGATCAGGGCTTGGTTGAAGGCACAGATGTGGAGGGTCCTCTGTAAAGTTATATGGTTTTTCGACTGCAGGAGATGGGAGGGTAGGAGTTGGGGAAGGGGTGGGTCCAACCCCTGAATCCCCGCATTATTCAAGGGCCAACTATATTAGGAGAAAATAAATTTAATACATTTTTAATAAGCATAAAACTTACTAAACTACTACTTTAATGTGAATGTTAACGTGAAAAATAAATGAGTCATTAACCCTGACAACATTAGCACTAGTTAATAGAGTTTACAGTAGAACGGAATTAAAATAGAATTTAGATTTTTGTTCATATCCTGTCAGAGTCCAAACAATTTATATCATATTATATTATATTATTAAAACAAAGATATAAATGATTATTTCCTAATTTTATATGCTGCTTTTTTGGAATATCTAGAAGCATACATTTTCTTTTAGTCATTTAATACCCAAAATGAGAGGAGACAGTACTAGTGAAAGTAAAATTTTACCTTGGGTGTGGTTTGTAAATAGAATTTTATCTCTTTATTTGTATGTAGATATATTCCAAAATAACTTGACAGACCTCAAAATTCATATGATATTCAATGCAGTAGCCCCAGCCATGTGCTTTGGAAATAGCCTATGACATATAAGGTAGTTAAATTGCTAAGATGTCTGAGGTTATAGCCTACATGTTGAGTGCTTTTGGTCCTTAGGGAGACATAATGGAACAAGCACTGGACAGGGTGAGCCCAGTGGGTGTCATCTTCTGTCACTAGCCCTCCATGTAACACTGTGCCTGTGTTCTCTCATTTTTAACATGTGACATTGAACTGGTTAGTGTTTTTTAAATTTCTTCTGTATGTGCCATGAAACTACTTTTTTTTCAGTTTTCAAATGGTGGTTTTGTCAGATTGTTTAAAAATATGGAACACTTCAATAATCTGCATGTAATTCTTGTTCAGAAGCCATGCTGATTTTTTCTGTATCATTCCAATTGATGTGCTGCTGAAGCAAGCATCGAAACGACTTTTTAAAGGAAATTTTGCGTAGAGCCCCAATCCAGATGCTGCTGCTTGTGTGTCTCTTCCTCTCTTCCCATCACCCTCAAGGCTTCTGAAGCAGAACCTAGTCTGAGACAAAAAGATTAAATCCAATTGAATAGACATTTTCTAAATAACCCCTTACTTTTATAATTCTATAATTTATTTCCCTGATTTTAAGAAGTTGAAATTTAAGAGATTTTACCAAATAGAATGCTTCAACAAAGTTGGCCGTGGGGCCTATTTCTGAAAAAATGTCTTCTTTTCCATTTATTTTCTTCATAATCTAAGAACTTTTCCCCCAAGGGCTATCTTGGGGGACCTCAGCCCTACCTGCTGGTGGCAGAATGCAGCACCCACGTGGTCTCTGTAGAATGTTAGTCGCTTACTAGCTCGGGCAGCACTTCCTCCATGACAGCATAGCTCCTCTGATGTAGCCTTTCTGACTCCACAGGCAGCTCCTACTGACTCCATTTTCTTCTTATAATTATAGTATAGCCAGCTTACAATGTGGCAATTTCTGATGTACAGCATAATAGTTCAGTCATACATATACATATATATATTCATTTTCATATTCTTTTTCATTATAGGTTATTACAAGATACTGACTCCAGTTGCTTGTGCTATACAGAAAAAATCTGTTGTTTATCTATTTTGTATACAGTAGTTAGTATCTACACATCTCAAACTCCCAATTTATCCCTTCTTACTCCCTTTCCCCCCGGTAACCATAAGTTTATTTTCTAAGTCTGTGACTCTGTTCTGTTTTGTAAATAAGTTCATTTGTCTTTTTTTTCTTTTTTAGATTACACGTGTAAGTGATATCATATTGTATTTTTCTTTCTGGCTTACTTCACTTAGAATAACAATCTCCAGGTCCATCCATGTTGCTCCAAATGGCATTATTTTATGCTTTTTATGACTGAGTAGT